TTACAGAGGCAATCAGGACTCAAGTGCTAGGGGAAAAGAGCGAAGTCCACTTTGACCTGTGCTTGAAGGTGCTGGGGGTGGGGTGTGTGGTGGGATTCCTCTCCTACATTAACTACAGCCTTCTCTACCTCTGGCATCTGGGAATTCTTGAAGATTCATTTCCATCCTGTGCAGCCCAGTACGCTGCGCCCAAGCGGAAGTGCTTCCCTTGTCTTTCTCGAGACCCTCTCTGCTCCTGTGCCAGAGGTGCCCCTATTGTTTCTATTCTCTCCAGTCACTTCCTCTGCTTCCTTGGCTCCTTCAACTTTCAACAGGCTTCCCTTAAATTTAAAAAAAAAAAAAAATCCTTCCTAAAAAAAACACAAAACAAAAACAAAAAAAACCTCTCCCTTTAGCTGTGATTGCCTGTCCATTTCTTCTTTCTCACCACCGATTTTAAAGGAAGTCTATACTTCAGTTTTCTCATTATCAACTACCTGTCTCGCAGTTCTGCTGCTCTCTGTATTAGCGTTGACTGTCAGTTATCTTTCTCCCCTTGCTGTATATGTATTGTTTCTCCAACTAGACTGTAAGTTCCTTGACGGTAGGGCCATGTTGCATTCTTTTTCGTATTCCCTACAGAAGTTGGCACAGTGCCTCGTTCACTATACTAGTAAGCCTTGGGTTGTGCTTGCCGGCCAAACCACAATCCGAATTAAACTCAGCTATCTGATTGCACCCAGCCCGCACCCAAAGCAGCTGAATGTCGTTGGAAGAAAGCTTACATGTTCGTGTCCCTCCAGGCTCTCTGTCTAGGACTCCCAACGGCTGATTGGGTTCCCTTTCCCAGTCTCCAAAATGACTAATTCACATACTTTCTCCTGTCTCAAATCTTCCACACCTTATCTCTCCTCCTCACTCTCTTAGCTGAAGAGCTTGACTCTTCCTTTTTAGAGAAAATGAGAACCAGTGAGAAGCAGTGGTATAGTGGTCAATGGCTAAGAACCAGTCTTGGGGGCCCTGATGTCCCAAGGTGCAGATACTCCCACCTGCCAGGTTTAAGTTACCAAAAAGAAGTCAACCGGCGCCCGGATGGTATGGCTCAGTGGTTGAGTATCATGCCTATGAACCAGGAGGGTCACTGTTTGATTTCTGGTCAGGGTACACGCCCAGGTTTTGGGCTGCATCCCTGGTAGGGGGGCATGTAGGAGGCCGCTGACCCATGTTTTGCTGTCACGTGGATGCTTCTTTCTCTCCCTTTTACTCTCTCTAAAAATCAATTTTAAAATCTTAAAAAAATAAAGAAATGAAAAAAAAAGCTTGATTCTTTTTCTAATCGTACAAGGCCTTCTCCAGCTCTCCTGAATCGACCTCTGCTTGTCCACCTTCCTCCAGCCCCTCTAGGCCTAAGGCCTTTGTAGTAGCCATTTTCTTTGCCTGAAATATGCCCTCATTCAGGTCTGAACTCCAAAATCACCTGCACACAAAGGCCTTCCATGATTCTCCGACCTGAAGTAGCACCCCTCACAGCTTCCTAATGCAGACTCGTAATTTTTAAAATTTTATTTTAGCCCTAGCTGGTTTGGCTCAGTGGATAGAGTGCCAGCCTGCAGATTGAAGAGGACCCAGTTTCCATTCTGGTCAAGGACATATGCTCGTACTGTGGCTTGATCCCCAGTAGGGGGCGTGCAGAAGGCAGACGATCTATGGTTCTCTCTCATCATTGATGTTTCCATCTCTCCCTCTCCCTTCCTCTCTGAAACCAATAAAAATATATTTTAAAAATAAATAAAAAGTTATTTTAGCACTGGATGGTTTGGATCAGTGGTTAGAAGTCGGCCCACGCACCAAAGTGTTGCAGGTTGGATCCCTGTCCTAGACTAGGGGTGCCAGTGGGAGGCAACCAATCCATGTCTCTCCCTCCCTCTCCCCCTATCCCTTCCTTCCACTCACTCTCCCTCTTAAAAAAATCAATGGGAAAAAATATCCTCAGGGAGGATTAAAAATACAGTTTTAATATTTCCCTTATCACTACTGAGCATTTTCTTGTTTATTCACTTGTGCATTTATTTCTAATCTGTCAGTGAAGAGTCAGAACCTTTGTGTCTTTCTTTCGAAAGCATGTTCCGTACCTAGAAAAGGTGGTTTGGTACCTAAGTTAGTTTTCAAAGGGCCGTATTTTCAGGTGGTCTTTTAATTTCGTTCCCCATCATAAGTGAATTTGATATAATTTAGGAAGAAGTACCTAATTTTGAACAAGTAAACAATTCCAGTACAAAAAATTAGGATTGGCATAAAAAGAATGTATCAAACACTTACCAGCAAAAGAAGGTGGGGCTTTAGAACACAAAGCTTGCCAGCACTCTGGTGTGGGTGGAACCTAATTATATTGAGTCACCACAAGTGGACAGGGAGGACAAACAAAACACGTCCTGGGGGTATAGCTCAGTGGTAGAGCATTTGACTGCAGATCAAGAGGTCCCCGGTTCAAATCCGGGTGCCCCCTCACATGACCTTGATGTTTTTCTCTCCTCACTCACGCGTAACCCATAGTAACACGAATGCAATCCCACTAACACAGGCACTTCTAAGCTGTCCCCCACTCAGCAGGGAGAGGCTTACTCTCAATAGGTGGAAAGGAAGCAACCAACTCTTACCCTCTTTGAGACTATTCAACATCTATTGGCCTTGGAGGTGTGCAGGGCAGTGTTATTTTGCCTAGTTTATACTCAGACAGGGAAGACTAGGAGAATGAATCCAAAGTTCAATAGGTTTATATAACTGCAAAGTTTAACAAGACATATACAGATAGCCCAGCCGGCGTGGCTCAGTGGTTGAGCATCGACCTATGAACCAAGGTTCGATTCCCGGTCAGAGAATATGCTTGGGTTGCGGGCTCCATCCCCAGAGTGGAGCGTGCAGAAGGCAGCTGATCGATGATTCTCTCATTGATGTTTCTCTCTCCCCCTCTCCCTTCCCCTGGGGGAGGGGGGGATACACAGATAAAAGGTGAAAAGTGGACAGCTTTCTCCTCCATATTAGCTCAAAGAAAAGCCTTAGGCCTGGGGTAAGTTTGAGGCCTCGTGTCCAGGGGGGTCTAGGTTTTGCACCAGGAGGACAGCTTTGCCCATGTCCAGCCTCAGACACACCAAACAGTAATGGGAGCCATGGGGAAAATGCACTGGAGTATTCCCCAGGGCCCCGGAGGGATGACACAACCAAATTCCGGGTTTAAAATATCGCAGGTGCCCTCTGACCCCAGCAGCATGCCTTTTCCTTTCTCCTTCATTTTTCCTTTTTTGGGGCAAAGCCTAGTCGAAAGGGCTGCCCTTACTCCCTTCACATTTACTGTTTTCCTCTGGCTTAGCCACGATACTGTCAGTGATGCAACCAACAAATATCTGTCCCTACCTTTAGGCTATGGAACTCGATGGCCTTGAATTACTGGTTTAGTGGTTCTCAAAGTGTGGCCCCTTGACCACAGCATCAGCATCTTCTGGAAACTTGTCAGAAATGCAAATTCTCTCGGGAGCCCACTCCAGGCCTATGGAATGAGAAACTGGGGGTGTTTTAACAAGCCCTCCAGGTAATTCTGATGCACATTCAAGTTTGAGAACCACTGCATCAGTTTATGTCAGTTTGTATTAGGAGGTAACTTTATTTTTGTAAATTAAAATGAGCTTATGGATGTGCATGGGGCATTTTAACCTTCTCAAAAGTGCTTTGACTCTCTACCTGTGTTATGAGCAATAGCACCTTCATGTCACCGGTAATTAAAAAAAAAGTTGAAGTTTGGAGAAAGGCTGTGGGTTTCTTCCCCTTGACCCACCCACATCCCCATCCGAAACGGAACGCCAACTGGGGGTAGTCATTTTGTCCCCGGAACCCGTGGCCGCGGAAATCCAGACACCTCCGGCGCCAGTAATCTTACGCCAGATTTGCGCACATGTCCACCCTTCCTCCTTCTGCTAGGTGCAAAGCAAAACCGAAAGCTTTCCGCTAAGGTTGGAAAACGAGAAATGCATCTTTGAAAAATCGTTTCTGTTTTCTTTTAATCCAGGACTCAATGTTAAAATAAAAAAGTCAAGAAAGGGGGTGCTATATTAGTCACAGGGAAGAAAAGCCACCAAGGGGGCACCCGGATTTGAACCAGGGACCTCTTGATCTGCAGTCAAATGCTCTACCACTGAGCTATACCCCCGCGCCGCTCTGGCTCCTGGAGATGGTTCTTTGGATGCACCGAGGGTGGGAGAAAGGAATAAAGGAGAAAAGGAGGCCAAGCGGAAAGCGGAAGGTGCCCGAATCCAGGGAACTCCGGGAAGGCTGCGCGGAGAGGGAAGAATCAGCCCGGGCTGCGAGGCGCTGAGAACAGGCGGGAGGGACAGGTTCCGCCCCGCAAAAGTGGGAGAAGATATGAGGGGGCAGGGAGGCTCATGTAGGTGTGGGGCAAGGGGTTCCCATTCCGTCCGTGGGTTCATGCCAGGTAGCGACGGGTACAAAGGAAAGTCCCCGAATGTGGTGAATCCGTTCGGGCCTTCAGGAGTGTTCCAACCCCACCCTGGACGGGAGGCGAGAGGTTTGCCCGCCTCCCGGCTGCCCCAGATGCCCCCCCACACCGGCCCCGAGG